GAGATTATATTAAGCAAAAAGCAATCAAACATACTCTTTATAAACATTTATAGGCCTCTTTCTTCTAACGTTGCTATTTTTCTAGAGCAATTGGAAACTTTACTAAGCAAAATAAACAATGAAAAAATAATAATATATTTGACTGGAGATATAAATATTGATCTGTCAATTGATTCATTGTCCAGTCGTCAGTTATTGAATCTCATGGCCTCTTTCTCTCTATATCCAACTGTAAATGTTCCAACGAGAACATCAGCATCCTCCACAATAGTAGATGTTATATTTACTAATTGTTTGGGTGGTTTTTGCAGTGGTGTGGTGGTATCTGATATCTCAAATCACTTCCCCTTGTTTATCACTTTCTCTTCGTCAAAAGATGATTGCAACGAAAATAAATTTTCATTTTTCAACACATGCGCAAGGAATTTAGATAAGTTAAGAGATGCACTGGCTGCTTATGACTGGTCTGATGTGCTTCTAGAAAATGATTGTCAGATGGCGTTCAGAAAATTTCTCAAAATTTTCGATGAACTATTTTGTCGGTCATGTCCATTTACTACTAAAAAACAAAAAAATTTTAAAAATTCATATCAACCATGGATGACAATACAAATTAAAATACTCATTAGAAAGAAAAACGAGCTATATAAAAAATTTAAAAATAATGAAACATATGATAATAAAACTAAATATTGTAAAATTAAAAATAAAGTCAACAAGATTATTCAAGCATCAAAAATGAATTACTATAACAATATGTTTGGCAGGCCTGATACTAATAGTAAAGATAAATGGAAAGCTCGCTTATGAATAAAAAGGTTAAATTTCAAAGCTTCACATTATTAAAAGACGAATCTATTGTCAAGGATCCGCTTGAAATTGCCAACATTTTTAATAATTATTTTATTGATTTGTTTAGTAAAAGTTTGCCGACAAACAATAATTTCCATGCTTTTTAGAAAAATGGAGTCTCCTCCTCTATTTACTTAATGCCAACCTGTCCGGCTGAAATATTTAACATTGTTAGATCGTTATCTAACTCTTCTTGTTTAGATCACTATAAATTTTCAAACAAAATCTTAAAATATATAAATCATTTTATTTGCCATATATTGTCACATTTGTTTAATCTATCACTTTCCACCGGAATTTTTCCAGACTGTCTTAAGATTGCGAGGGTTGTTCCTGTTTATAAGTCTGGGTCACACAATAACCTTAAAAATTATAGACCAATTAGTATATTAAGTTGTATCTCAAAGGTGTTGGAAAAGGTTGTCGAGATAAGACTCGAGTCTTTTATGAGTGCCAATAATGTTTTAACAAATGATCAATTTGGTTTTCGAAAGAATTGTTTCACTGAAGATGCACTCATAAGGCTTTTTAATGAAATTGTTTTTAAATATGATGCTGGTCATGTTATTTAAACTGTGTTTTTAGATTTTTCAAAAGCGTTTGACTCCGTTCCACATGATATACTGTTGTTTAAATTGGAACATTACGGAATCAGAGGACATGCTCTGAAGTGGTTCAGTAGTTACCTCGCAAATAGATTTCAATACGTTTCAATAAACCATTGTAACTCAGATACTCGTCGGGTGGTAAGTGGTGTGCCACAGAGGAGTATTCTAGGTCCAAAATTATTTATCCTGTTTATCAATGATATCATCAATACAACCAAAATCTCTAATTTCATTGTTTATGCAGACGACACTACAATGGTCACTACTTCTAGGGATATAAATAATTTGAATGTTTGTACAAATAATTGTTTAGATAAATTGCACACATGGTCTATTTATAATAAAATTAATATAAATATTACAAAAACCAAGTATATGATTTTTAATAGATTGAACTGTAACGATGAAGAATTTGTTTTAAAGATAGGTGACAGTATAATTGACAGAGTTGAAGATTTTAAATTATTGGGAATTATAATAGATCGGAAATTAATTTTTATAAAACATATTGATTTAATCCTGCAAAAAATAAATAGAAATTTGGGAATAATGAACAGACTCAAATATATTATACCAAAGTAAATTTTAATTTTAATGTATCACGCTTTTATATATCCGAATCTATACTATGGAAATCTAATATGGGGTAACACTTTCAAGACGTATTGGAAATTTTACTTAGTCCAAAAAAAAGCCT